TATATCTATCAACGCTGGCCTAGCTGCCCTAGGCAAGGTCATCTCTCAGCTTTCTTCTCGTCAATCGGGAGCTCATGTCTCCTATCGCGATTCGAAGCTCACTCGGCTACTCCAAGATTCTCTCGGCGGCAATGCTTATACGTATATGATCGCTTGTGTTACGCCCGCGGAATTCCACCTCAGTGAAACTCTGAATACTGTCCAATACGCACAGAGGGCGAGGGCGATCCAGAGCAAGCCGCAGATCCAGCAGATTGCCGACGAAAGCGACAAGCACGCAGTGATTGAGAGGCTCAAGGCGGAAGTTGCTTTCCTGAGACAGCAGATCCGTATCGCCGAGGACAATGACCGACGAGCTGCTGCGCCGCAGGAGAGGGCTGAGCGTCAGAATGAGAGGGTGAAGGAGCTTCAGGACCAACTGCTTGACGTACAAGAGAGTTATAACGCGCTGAGCCAACGACACGCCAAACTCATTTCCGAACTCGCTCGCGATTCGGAGCACTCCACCAATGGAGAGGCAGATGACGTTGCCTCGGCTGTTGGCAAGAGCTCTGTTGAGCGACTGAAGCGGTCGCACTCTTTTGCCCAATCCGTCGAACAAGTCGTTCTCGAGTATGAGAAAACGATACAAAGCCTTGAATCTTCCTTATCCAACACGCGATCCTCCTTGGCGGTGACTGAGAGCACTCTTCTGGAACGCGAGACCAAATGCGCCTATGTTGAAACGGTCAATGCCCAACTGCAAGCACGCATCCAGAAACTTATGGACCGCGAGGCCAGCACCGAGTCCTATATGCACGAGTTGGAGTCTCGCCTCGATGGCCAGTCTTCGGGCGAGGAGAAATACACAGCTATCATTGCGGAGCTCCGCAAAGAACTCGGCCGTGCGCGCGAAAGCGAAGCGGGATGCGAAGATTACATTTCGACCCTGGAGGAGCGCCTGGCGGAAGCCGACCAAGACATGGAGCTTATGCAGCGAGAGGTTGAACGCTTGGAACATGTGATCGAGCGTCAGCGAAGTCTCGGCAAACTCGATAGTCTTCTCTACGAGTTGGACCACGTCCATCAGAACGGTACCAATCACGAGGAAATCGAGGAGGAAATGGAGTCTCCTGCTGCTGTGAGAAGCGCCCGCAATTCCCGTCAGAGGGCCACTACTCTCGAAGTTTTGACCGAAGCCGCCGAAACGGCGATTCCTGAATCAGACGAGGGTCTCGCAGAGACCGTTCCGGACATTGAAGAAGAATCAAACTTCGAAGCTGCGACAGCTGCCGACGTTGATGGCTCTGATTTGGAGGTTTTGGAAAGGGTAACCAGCCGTTTAGAGTCCGATCCCAATGCAGAGCCTCGAGCCCAGACTCCTAGCCTTACGGAGTCGAAGATCGTTGCTGATAAGCTTGAGACAGTCTCTCAAGAGCTCTTGGACCTGCGCCTGCAGCACGAGAACACCGTGAACCAATATGAACTGTTGGAGACCAAATATGAAGAGGCACTCCGAGCTTTAGCCAAACTGAAACAGGACGCTGCGGACGAAGCGCGCCATCCGGCTTCTGCCGTCCACGGACTCATTTCCCCAGTCACTGCCTCTCGGCCAGTGTCTTTTTTAGAGGATGCGAAGGCCCCCGACTCGAAGAGTGGAAAACAACATTCGTTCTCGCAATCACTCTCCTCGGAGTTATCCTTGGTCGGGGAGCCTGCTGCTTCGCAAGAACCCTCTAACGGCCATTCTGAGCCCGCCGCAGAAATTCCCGTGGACTCGCAGGCGTCCCACAGTGAGACGAACTCGCTCGAAATGGAGCACATGCGTCAGCTACTCTCCGAGCACCAGGAAGGTGTTCATATTATGACCCAAAGGTATGCCGAGCTGCAGGCCGAGCATGAAGGTGCCCTTGCTCTGGTAGAGACGCTCAAAAGGGAGCTTCAGAAATCCAAATCTGCCTCTCCGCCAACAACCCCGGGCTTCAAGTCAAACGTCATCCGGAGGAAGAGCAGCCAGAGCCTCATGTCGACGGTGGATCGTGCGCATCGCTCGCTTGCTGCCTTGAAGAACATCGCAGTAGAAAAATTCGAAGGCCAGCCCGACACAATGCAGAACTTCGAGGTTCATCTTGACGCGGCGATGCATGAGCTGCACTCGCGCATAGAACGCATCCAGTCCTTGGAGGCGGAAAACCAGAGCGTAAAGAAAGAAATGGAGATGAAGGCGACGATCATCTCTGGCCTCACCCGCGAGCGGTCCAGCTTGCAAGGGGGTACACCTTCCGCCGACATGGGCCTAGTCTCCCAGTTGCGCGATCAGGTAGTCCAGCAGGAGAACCTGATCAACGAGCTCAGGGAGGCGCACGAGTCACGCGAAAAGAAGCTGCTCGCCGAGATCGCGGAATTGAAGGATCTTCTGAAGACTCAGGAGGCAGCTGCCAAAGCTCAGGACGCGCACGCGGAAGAGCAAGACAAGAAGATCGACGACCTTCAAGGTGAATTGGTGGAGTGGAAGAGCAAGCATGAGAACGCCGTCAAATCGTTGCAGGCTTCCGAGCAGCAACTCAGTGCCACCTTGGCTGACCTGGACAAGGCCCTGGCAACTGCAGATACCATGCGCTCAGAGCGTGCTGCCGCCGACGAGACCTCTGCTGCGAAGGAGGCTGCTGCCAGAGAGCTGGAGGCTGAGAGATCACAGCAGCAAGAGCTGGTTGAGAGTTTGAAGCAGAAGATCGAAGAGCACGAGGCTACCTCTGCGGCCCATCTCGAGGAGATTGCTGCTCTCGAGCAATCGCACAAGACAGCGCAGGAGCAGCTGTCAGATGTCCTCGCGACCAAGGACAGTACCAGCGGTGAGGTTGAAGTGTTCCAGTCTCGTGTGTCTGAACTCGAGAAAGAGATTGAGATGCACAAGTCGACTGCCGATTCTCACAAGAGGGACCTCGAGGCTCTGCAAGAATCACACAAGAATGAATTGGCGGAACTCGAGGCCCGTGCTAAGGCTGCAGCGCAGGCTGAGTATGACTCGCGGATTGCGGAGAAGAGCGCCGAACACGAGGAGGCGATGAAGAGCCTGAGATCTGAAATTGAGACATCACGGAATGAGCTGTTGAAACTGCTGAAGGTCGTGTCAGGACTGATCAATTCCGACGTCACCGCGGACAACCTCGCAGACCAGATCCAAGATATCCTCACGCAAAAGCAGCACTTTTCCGACAAGTATGCCGAGCTGATGGATGCGAACGAAGATCTTCGCAAGCAGCTCGAAGCCAAGGACAGCGATGCCAACAAGTTGGAAGAGCTTACGCAGCGCGAGGCGGCCAAGGACGCTAAGGTGAACGAGCTTGCCATCCTCGTCGCCACTCTTGAAGATGCCCTTCAGCGTAAGGAAGAGCTGGTCAAGAAAAAGGATGCGCTCATCGAGGAGATCACCGCCGAGAAAGAAAAGAGTCTGCGCCTAGTGGAGGAACTCGAGGAGCAGATTACCAACAGCTTCGACCAACACCACAACCGTCTCTCCGTCATCCAGCATGAGCGCGATCAGGCCTTGGAAGACGCTAAGGCCAAGATTGCGACGTATGAGAAAGAGATTGAGACATATCGCATGCGGATTGAACAGCTTGAGGTAAGCACTGCTGTTATAGGCTCTGAAATGTGATCCCGACTAACGAACTCTAGCTTCAACTCAAGAATGGTACCGGCCAGGATGGTTCGCATGACCGCACCAGCTCTTTGACCTCGAATCTGCGGAAGAGCACTTCGGCAGCCTCTCTTCCTTCGCCGCCGCCTGCCATTCCTCTCCCGCCCCTACCGACTATACAGTCTGCCACGAACGGTAGTGTCTCTCCCCCCAGCTCTCGCCACACCAGCAAGGAACTGGTCAGTGTTCAGATTGTCGAAGACCAGGAGGCCCGTATCCGCACGATAGAGAAACACCTCAATGCCGAGAAGCAACTCACTGCCACTTTGGAAGAAGCTCTGGGTGACCTCGAAGCGCAGAGCAACAAGGTCAAGACCGACTGCGAGGCCTGGAAGAAGAAGGCGTGGCAACTGGAGGAGGAGTTGACAACCCTTCGCAAGGAGCGCAACTCGCAGCGCCTCTCGCTCCAAGCCGTCGAGGAAGAACGCAATGCCCGCCGCGAAGCCGAGGCTGCTCGGGCCCAGCTTGAAGAGCGGATGAATGCGCTGAACAAGAAGAAGAAGAAGAGCACGCTGAACTGCTTTTAATCCATCGTACGCTTTTGATTCTTTTGAATCGTTCCATTTTAGTGTCTCGGACGTGACGTTTCTCCATGTTCAAAGCCCGCCCTGTGTACTATGATATCGACGTCAATTCCCCTTGGCCTTGTTTTGTTGATACCTTTTTGTTTTCATTTCGAGACTTTTTCCTTCAGATAACCCCTAGCCACCGCCGCCTTGTTCTACCACAAGTCATTAAATTCGCTTCTTCTGGGCAATTCTTGCCTATGTCGACAATGTACATTTCTGCCTACCCTGTGATCACGCCTCCAGCAACCCTATTGCAGTATATTTTGTTATCACTCGTATGCCATAAAAGAACGTACGGCCTGTGGTCACTTTTGTCTATAGTCCTTTGCTCCACACGGTCTATGGTCCTTTGTTGCCACACTGCTACTGTTGGGAGGTCGTTTGTAGTTTGCCTTGTTTATGGAAGGTGCAATAGTATAGCATGGGTTGAATGGAAGCAAAATCTGTGATACACCCATAGACATCTTTGAAATAGTCAAGTCAAGAATGTTAAACCTCCGCATAGACGTGCCTCGGTTCTTCGGGTACACACCATCTTGATCCAACCCGCGGTAAGGACGGAGGCATGATATGCACGTCCTCGAAATTCTATGCATCTCAAATCGAAAGCTTCCAATACAATTGACTTGAAGAAGCTTCCATACAGTTAGCAACGAGACGACTCCATCGCCTCCTAAATCCAACAAATCACTCCGCTTGTCTAATCGCAAACACTATCCCGAACATCATTCAACAAGACCAGCTGGAAGACCATGACAGCTACCTCTATTTCTAGTTTGAAGTCTGTATCCACAGAAGAAACCCTCGCCTTCTTCAACGCCATCCCCAGATGCGCCGAGATCCTGTCTCGGTCGGATCTGAGGGTGATCCACCCGCGCAACCCAGACTCCTTCTTCCACTCGACCCTCCGGTCCAACCACGGAATCCTCAAGTCCGTCTTCATTTACCAGCCGGCTCATACCAGAACATCAACATCTTCAAATTCAGATGATACCAATACTAATACCAGCGCCATCGCCATCGCCACAAACGCAAAACCACGAGAGCGAGAGCAAGGCTACCTCCTGCTCCACCTCGGCCGCGGCGTATCGGGGCAGCCCGATATCGCGCACGGCGGGTTCCTGGCTACCGTGCTGGACCAGGTTACGGGGAATTTGATCGGGGCGAGTGGGTTGGATCGTGGACGGGGGGCGGTTACGGTCTATTTGAATGTAAAGTATCAAAGGCCGGTGAGGGTTCCTGGGGTTGTTGTTGCGAGGGCGGAGATTGGGAGGGTGGAGGGGAGGAAGATTTATGTGGAGGGGGAGATTTGTGCTGCGGACCAGGAAGGGGAGGGCGAAGGGGAGGAGATTTGTGCGGCTTGTGAAGGAATGTTTTTGGTTAAGAGGGATGTTACAGTTAGGATTTGATTTTGAGGTGGTCTGAGAGAGATAGAGTCAGAGATGTTTTGTTTTGAGAGCATGGCTACTATGCGGAGGACTCCCGTCTCCGTAGATAGGAGGATGTGTCATCACATGACGTCGTGCCCTGTGGCTTAAGCTCGAGCTCAAGCTCAACCAACAATGCAGCAATGATTCCCCTTCCGCGTAGACGTACAAGCTCCGCACAGATACACAGGCGATGGCCCGCCTCAAACCCTCCAATGTCATCATCATCCACCCGGACCTGGGAATCGGCGGCGCGGAGCGGCTAATCATCGACGTGGCGCTGGCGCTGCAGTCCCGCGGCCACAAAGTCACCATCTACACCTCCCACCGCGACAAATCGCACTGTTTCGAGGAAGCGCGCGACGGCACGCTCGATGTGCGCGTGCGCGGCAACTCACTCTTCCCCGCGCATGTCGGCGGACGACTACATGTCCTCATGGCGGTTCTGCGGCAGCTGCATCTGACGGCGTCGGTGCTGAGGGAGATCGCAACAGAAAAGGGTGATTCGGACGACATCTTCATCGTCGACCAGGTCCCCGCTTGCGTGCCGTTTTTGAAAACGCTCGGCCCCCGCGCAGCGCGCAGCCGCAGTCGCAGTCGCCAGCGCATCCTCTTCTACTGCCATTTCCCCGACCAGTTGCTTGCGCGCCGGAATGAGGGCGGCGAGCTGTTGCGGCTTGCGAAGACGCTCTATCGGTATCCGTTTGACTGGTTTGAAGGGTGGGCGATGAGCGCATCGGATACGGTCGTTGCCAACTCGAAGTTCACCCGCGGGGTCGTGAGCGAGGTCTTTGGGAAGGAGAAGCTCGGTGATGTTCGGATTGTTTATCCCTGCGTCGATACCAAGGCTGGCGCGCCGGTTGGGACTGGTGAGGGCACATTGTGGGGTGGGAAGAAGATCTTGTTAAGTGTGAACCGGTTCGAGAGGAAGAAGGATTTGGGGTTGGCGATTCGTGCGTATCATCATCTTGGGGAGGAGAAACGGAGGGGGACACGGTTGGTGATTGCTGGTAGGTCTCTCCCTCTTCACGGTAGGGAGAGCAGCTATTGATTGAAGTTACTTCTACAGGCGGTTACGACAATCGGGTCCAGGAGAATGTCCAATACCACCGAGAACTAGACCAGCTCGCTACAAGTTTGGGATTACAGACCGCGACCTCTAAAACGGTCATCTCTGCCCTGTCTATCCCTGATTCGATCGACGTCCTTTTCTTGCTCTCCGTCCCAACCGCCTTCCGGGATACGCTCCTCTCGCAGGCAAAACTGCTTCTCTACACTCCCATCAACGAACACTTTGGTATTGTCCCCGTCGAAGCCATGCGCGCCGGGATCCCCGTTCTCGCATCGAACACAGGCGGGCCGTTGGAAACTATCGTGGAAGGCGAAACGGGCTGGCTCCGGGACGCAACGGTCGTCGCTGATTGGACTGCGGTCATGGACCGGGTTCTCTACGGGATGGCTCAGAAGGACTTGGACCGCATGTCAGCCGCGAGCAAAGCGAGAGTAGAGAAGGAGTTCTCGCTGACTGCAATGGGTGACAGACTTGAAGAGGAGATTGCGGACATGCTCAGCAAGGAAAGACGACCATTCAGCGGATTTCACCAGCTAATCTTCGTCTTTGCCTTGTTGGGCATTGTGTCTTCTGTTCTTGGCGTGTGGGCCGTAAAGGTGCTCTAGATTTGTATAAATACCCCTCATTTCTTATTTGTATTTTAGCAATCTTACACTTGTACTCCAAACACAACCATTAATGGCTCCCTCTCACGTGATTTCGCGCAATGCCGACGCGGGATAACCGCGACACGCGTGAGAAACTGGAGAAACGTCGCAGCGAAGTCGGATAGGTCATCAACTAATCCACAACCTCGGTGCTCTTTAACGAGGAAAATGCCAGAGGTTATCAACCTCCTGTCCTCGACGCCGCCGCCCCCAGCATCTCAACCCCGTCAGCCATTAGTGGCCACGCTTCCATCCGATCCGCCACTGTCCTCTGCTCGGCATCTGTTATCGGATGATATCGAATCACTTTTCGCCTACGATGATATCGATAAACCGGCCAAGAGACGTCGCTTAAGCGAGGAGGTCGAATCCCCTAGGGAAGCAGACGCCCATTTCTCGAGGACAAATCTGTTTCTGTTTTCCGATGATGATGTCGCCTTGCCGTCTGATGTCGCCTTGCCGTCTGATGTCGCCTTGCCGTCTGATGGACCCTCCACACTGAAGATCCCGGCGTGGAACGAGGAGTCGGACCCCATCGTTTTCACTTCGCCTGCTCCTGTGCCGGTAGCGAGGCCTCTTACGACTAATAGGACGAACCTCGGAGAAGCTAACACGATCACGATTGACGATGACGGTGACGATGACGGTGATGCTCATGTCGATATTTCCATCGATCCCGCCCCCAGGAAGGACCACATCGAGGACTTCAGTGACCAGCTGGGAATGCCGGATATTGAAGAGTTAGTGAGGCAGGCTAGAACAACTAAGCCATCTGGGCATGAAAATACGCTCTTTTCGAGCCGGACGGCCAGTCTCCTTGCAGGTCTCGAGGAGCGCTCAAAAGCTACCAGTAGCACTGGGAGTAGGACGAAATCAAGGGCCGCAGGTCCCTCCAAGAAGGCCCAAGAACACGATGTCCTTGACCTGGATGATGATCTGTCTGAGGTAGTGGCTGAATCTCGCAAGCCAGCAAGAAAGACAAACAAGCTGACCGCCGCGGAGAAAGAAGCGCGGGCTAAAGAGCGAGAAGCCGCAAAGGCGCAGCGAGAACATGAGAAACAGCTTGAGAAGGAAAGACAGAAGAAGCTCCGGGAGGAAAAGGCGCGGGAGAAGCAGCTCGCTGCGGACTTGGCGGAGGTCAACAAGCTCAAGGTGGACAAGAAGGAGTCCACGCCTGAGATGATCCTTGATCTCGCTTCCTCTTTTAGAGAAACAAGCGTTGGCAATCAGAGCATCGAACTCATGAAACGGCTGGGAGTCGAGCACACGTTCTTCACGAGCTCTATCCCGAACGTCGTCAAATGGCGCCGGAAGGTCACAGCCAGGTATAACGAAGCTGCCGGCCATTGGGAGCCCTGTCCACACCATATCCGCGAAGAAGACCACGTCCTTTGTCTAGTGACAGCACAGGACTTCGTCAACATGGTGATCGCGCCCGCAGACCCGGTAACAGGCACAACCGAGCTGGAACTGCACCTCGACCGCATCAAAAAAGTCTACCCACGCCACAAACCAATCTACCTCATCGAAGGCCTAACCGCGTGGATGCGCAAGAACCAAAACTCCCGCAATAGAGCCTTCCAAGCCCAGGTCCGCCGGCAACTCGACCAGAACCCAGACGATCCATCCTCGTCGACGCACCGCAGAAAACCCCCCGCCAAAACCGCCGAGTCCACCCCGCCCGTCGACGACGATACCATCGAAGACGCCCTCCTCGAGCTCCAAGTCACACACGCCTGCCTCATACACCACACCAGCGCTGCGGCAGAGTCGGCAGAATGGATCAAGAACTTTACCGAGCATATTTCCACCATCCCGTACAAGCGCGAGCGCATGGACGGCAACGACTCGGCCTTTTGCATGGATACGGGACAGGTCAAACCCGGCGAGGACAAGGCCGATACCTTCGTCAAAATGCTCCAGGAGGTGAATCGCGTCACTGCGTCCATGGCTTATGGCATCGCGGCGAGGTATCCCTCCGTCGTGGACTTAGTGAGAGGCATGCGCCGGCATGGGCCGACCATGCTGGAAGATGTCAAGGTATGCACATAACCCTTATCTGCCTCTATCCCAGTTCAAGCTTCGCTAACTTTTATTCCGAAGAAATCTGCAAACAAGAACGGTGCCCTGACGGACTCGCGCATCGGCCCGGCTGCGAGTAAACGGCTTTACAAGGTGTTTATGGGCCTTGATCCCTCCTCTACGGATGTCTGAATTGGCTTGCTCTGTATCTGTTTATTGGACTTTGTGGACTTGTTCCCGTGTCGTACATGAATACCCTTCTATTCTTTCTGATTGTCATTTCTCTTTCTTGTGAGAATGTTGGCATCTGTTATCCTTGGTATGGAGTAGGTTTCGTCGTTTTGCTGGAATGTACAAATACATCATGGTTAGGGCTCGATAGATGAAGACATATGTTACTTGTGTCTCTCAGTCATTTTGCTGCCGAGAATAATAAAACCTAGCCAAAGGGGAAACCAGACACTACATGGAGATGCTATATCGCTATACCGAAACAAATCCAGAATATTTCAGACGCCAAAGTATGGAAGAATGTATCAAACGACGACTCCCCGTCGTCGCCAACCCCTCCAGGCAAGTATCCACGCACCTATAGCCACCCATACACTGAGGGTGCATCCGATGGCCCAGAACCCATAGCAGTGCCAACCATGGCACTGTCCGTCCGCTGAGCCGTTCCCGCCCTTCGTCGCGTCCTGGTATCCGCGCGAATAGATGACACCCCACATGGCGGCACCGGCAGCAGGGACCATGGCCACGATGCCCCAGTTAGTGCCAAAGTTCTCGACCCCCCACACGACAGAGACGATTATGGGGACGAGAGAGAAGGCGCTGCCGTAGCCTAGGCCTATCAGCGCGGTTGTTATGTGTGTGAGACCTGGGTGCTGGAGGGGTAAGGGGGACGAGAGGAGCAGATAGCCGAGGGAGAGGAGGAGGGCTGAGGGCAGGAGGAAGGCGAGTCGCGAGAGAGTGGGTCTGTTTGCGGTTGAACCTGATAACGACGAGCGAAGGCCAGCTTCTATGTTTGCTGGGAAAAGATGAGTGGCCGGGGGCGCGAAGAAGTCGGAGAGAGATCCGGTGAGCAGTCGGGCTATGGTTGATGTGAGTGCTATCGTGGTCACATGAGTTGAAGGCAGTCCTGCTGGAGGCGGAGCGTTGGGGGGGTATGATTCCGGCGTGAGTGTTTGAATAATTGTGCCCAACTAGGGGGCCCAATTAGTTAATTGTCTACTGAAATAGTATGAGGTAGACTTACGTTGTTGATGTATGCTTCTCCTGGGCCGGTGACCAGGACGAAGCCAAGTGCAAGCCACCACATGGTCTGATCTTGCAGAAATAGTCGCGTTTCGAAGTTCAGCAGCCAGTTCTTCTTCCTCCGTTCCTCCTCCTCCCTTTCCTTCTCCAGTCTCGCCGCTTCACGTTCTTCTTCAGAGAGGGTCAATGATAGCTCCGGGTTGGGCAAATCACCGTCAGCAGCCTCGGAAAATGTCCCATAAGCCGCCTGCACGTCGCTTCGAGGCCGGAAGAACTCGCTCTCCTCGAGGAGACCACTACGCTCGAGCTCCTCGACGGCCTCATCAATGTACTTGTCCTCTTCCTCGTCAACAATTCTCAACCCGAAAGTGCCAATGACTCCCAGGCAGAAGAGAAACAAGGCAAGGAACAGAAAGTAGCGGAAGACATCCACGTCACCACGGCTTCCATCCTCGCGGCGTTCACATAGCAGGTATGTTGCTAGCTGGCTCTGCCACATGCCACTCAGACCGAAGCCCGCAATAGGAAGAGCAAGCATGATACCCTTGTGCTTGCCGCGGCCAAAATTCTTCGCGCATGTCGTCACCGCAGCCAGGTACATACAGCTTGTAGCCGTCCCGATAGCAACGAATGCCACAACCATCACCCAGGGCGGCCATCCTTCTCCGCCTACATCAGGGAGCGGGCCACTCCTATATGCAAAGGCAGCCAGCAGGTAACCTCCACCAAAGACAAGTCCTGATAGCAACGCCAGCGGAGAGGGCGAGTACCGATCGCAAAGGTAACCGAACAATGGCACGGGAAGGTACATTGAGATCTCCGCCGCGATCGAAACGGCGTTCACCTGAAACTGACTGTAATGGAGCCGAGTGAGGAAAAGAGGCCCGTACAGCGAAAAAGCAGTGATGCTACCGGCTCCAAGACTAAATGACCACGCTTACTGTCAGTACATTTACAACGACAGATAAACGATAGCATCTACGGATTGTGAGAAAAAGGGACGGGACGGCCAACCAGCTGATCACGCCCACCACAAAGCTGCATACACGCATCACTTCCATTGCCATCTTACGGCGATCTCTCTCAACGATCTCGTCAACCACATTGTTCAAGAGCCCGTCGGTGCCACTGTCGAGATTTCGAATGGCGGACAGTCTCGAACTGGAACGCGGCCGTGCTTCTCCAGTCCCATCAACGCCGGCGTCAATGTCATGGAGTAGAGGTCGATTATCATCAAAATCCCGCTTATCAATTGCTGGCTCGTACTGTTGATCAGAGCCGGCCATTGTGCTTGTGTATCAACTGCAGCTCTATGGAGCGCCAATATGTAGCAAATAACACAGCCCAAATGGCTCAGAAGTGGTTACACTGTAATAAATATACTCGATAAGGTATACCTCTGCCGTCAGCAGATTGTGTAGCGGCGTTTCAGCGAGATGGACAATTCCCCAGGCCAGCTGGGATACGCGATTGACGAACTGATAACGGAAGTCGGCTCTCCCTGCGGCCCGGTCAGGTCAAGTAGCAGTTTATTATTGTGGTACTGGATGAATAGGTAAAGTGCAAGTAGAGCGCCGGTGATTATCGAGCGCTGGTGATTAAAAAACTGTTGGTCAATGCCATGGATGAAGGAGCCGAGAGGTGTTGACAGGGTCTCACGGGCACGTCATCAGAGGAGATACAATGCTTATCATCACATGGGCACGTGACATTCTCCAATTCTGGGAGCACATGATCGTGTCTGAGCCATCAGGTGATTATGCTGAGTCACCTACAGGCAAGATTCATCGGAAATAGAAGGATTTGCTGAGTCGCTGCCATTTTCAGCCGGCCCCTCATTTGGGTTTGGCGCACGTGTCCGCCACGCCTAACCTACCCGTATCAGGTTTAGTGTCTGGAGCTGATTGCTCTTGGCTCGTAACAATGCTCTCCTTCTTACCTGATTGATGGGCTTTCTACCCTGCAAGTAGATCTAATATTTACACACTGATAGAGCTTTGATATCCGGCTAGGTCTACAGCCGATCTATATCATGTCTGCGATGGACTCGAACGTTTCTTCGAGCGGTAGACAGACCCATAAACGGATTTCTCTCCTCTTTCCTTTGAACATTGCTCCACAGGTCAGATGCAATCACGATAGTGTATTTGCCAGCCTCTCGAAACCATGTCTCCTATGGTCAACCTTGTGCAACAGCTTCAGCCCCGGTGACAGCGACGATACTCATCTCATTGCATCCAGTCTGTTCAGCCGCGGTCAAAAAGTCCCGAGCAGTGAGCTCCAGCCCTCGCTCACTTAAGAGATCCTCCCCTTCCCCAAGTACTCCTCGGAACAAAGGTCCATTCATCCCTCCATTCAGTTCCCAGACTTTCCCATCTGTCTGCACGAAGGCCAAGAAATGGTGTCGATTATCCTCCCGAGGTGAGGGGACATTCGAAGATCCACGCGATGCGGCATCCATGTGCACCTCTTCCAAGAAACTGGAGTTATATAGCAACTGCGCTCGCTCAGTGGGCCTGAGTCGAATAGCTTGTTGACGGAGTAAATCTAGTGCTGTACCGGGGCGTACGTATCGACCACCCTCCAGGTTGAAGACTACATGCAGGAGAGCCATCAGCCCACAAGCATGGCCGATAGTCTGTTTCATCCATATAACTGGTTCACTAGGACCTGAACCTTTGTACTCTGGTATGGTTGGGTTAACTGCAGAGCGGGCAGCTTGATAAATAGGCCCCTCCGCGAGGACGATAAGGGCGTGACAAGGTCGGAAATAGCACTCTTGAAGGAATGCTGGAGAAGTGGAGATAATATCATGAAACCCAAGACCCCCTGAGATATGGAGATTCTCACAGAGACGGCTCAGGACATCGGGATTGTTCTCTAAGACAATTATCTGTCCTGCCCCTTCCATAAAGGGGGGCAAACCGTACCGAGTGGGATGAAGGTCTTAATGCCGTCAATGATTTCTGCCCGAGGTGGTGCAGCCATTTGGAAGGGTTTTTAACGTGATGAAATTCTGTAGATATTAGTTAGATCAGAAGGAAATTGGTGGATGGCTGTCCGCGTCATGGAGAAAGTAGGAAAGTAATCATGGGTGGAGTGGGTTCTCCCCGCTTATGTGCTGCGGATCCGAACGGAATCTGCCGTCCACTACCCCGTACCACCCGTCGGGCTGCCTCCTTGATCTACATAAACTCGCAGTGCGTTGCTCAACGACACCATCCGTCTTTCCAACATTTTCATTCCCCCTGGAAGCCCAGGCAGCAACAATGTCCCTGGTCGGCTGACGTGTCTCCCTGTCAGCTGAAAGACTCTGTATCCCCTAAATTCCTCGTCAGTTCGCGAATGCAAGCAATACTTGAGCTAGGGTGTCTACTTTCCAACCGGCCCTTAGCTGAATATGTATGTTTACTCGCGGGTTGCGGGTTAGTGTATCAGCTTTTGAATGCATAGACAATCACAAAAAAATGCCTCATGGAACGCTGCGGCCGAGCTACTGCTTCTCAACCGACTTTAGGCTCTCATGATTCGGGTATGCTGCGAGTAGTACGCTGTTCTCATTTATTTCGCCAGTCTACCCTACTCGGAGCCTAGTTCAGCCCAGACTCTACAATTTACAAAGAGCCAATGTCATAATACTGGATTCAACAATAGACACATCGCAAAAATATGTCTGTTGAAGCAGATGAGGAGACTCCGCTGTCTGCTACTAGTCTCCCAAACCCAAGCCAAACTCCCTCCGTCACCTTCAACGAGACTTTGATTCCTAATGAGCCTCACGCCATCGACTCTTCAGACCTGACTACCCCTGAGAAGAGACTTTACGACTTCTTGTGCTCCCAAGGATGGACTGATACACAGCGTTCTTGTCTCTTCGCTCATATCGAAATGATGAAAGAAGCCATCTCTCACCATTTCTACTCCCAAGGTTGGAGCAACGATCAAGTGAAATGTCTTCATGAACGTTGCCAGATGGAATTGCCGGAGAATTTCCCAGCTCCTAGAGGTGATGCCGATCAAGAAGATCTGCAAATGCAGCTAAGGCTAGTGGAAGAAATGAATCGTAGAATGGCGATTGGCGAGCGCATGTTCCCATCAACAGGGACTGTGGGAAGTGGGGTTGATGAGGAGAGAAGGACTTGAGTGGAATTCCCTCAAAGCATTATGACATGTATGTCCATCTATCTTTGCTTAGCCCACGTATATGTGGTTCTTTTGCCGATTTTGTCAAGAGAGAAATGCTGAGTACTCGAAGCGCGATATGTCAATTTGTCAAGACTAAGGCTTATCACAAAGCTGGATGCTCAGCATCACTTTCCACTTCAAAACAGTTCTCAAATGTCCGTCTTCGTCTTATCAGACAAGTAACCTGCCAATCCTCCCATACCTCTAGGACTCAGTATCTCCAGCCTCTGGTCGGTCAGTTATTTCCCCACCTTTTCCTATTTAGGAAGTCATATCTATTATTTTTCGTGATTTCAGCACACAGATAGAGAGAAGAGTATGTATGCACAGCAGGTGAGGCAGCTTCAGTACTAGTCAATGGATATGAATTTTTGGGAATCAACCACTGTCTTTGACTCTTGCCCTACACAACGTCTAATCTACTTTCTCGTAGGCGTATTGAAGAATTACGGATTTACACGATTTGAGCTATCTAAACTGGTATTCGTCGATGTACATGAACAATCCGAATGCGTCCCATGCTTGCAATCTGTGAAAAAAAACGAAAACAGTAACCCGGGGAATCGGACAGGTTCCCGAGGGGTATAATCACTAAGACATGTCCGAGAAGAGAACAACAAATTGGAAAGAAATGAAGCCGAAAGGGAAAATTATGATCTCATACATACCATCAGAATGGAAGTTGCTCCCGAGCAGATGATCCTCCTCTATGATGCTCCAGGCAGGGATAGACAAGTCCAAGAGGCGAGCATGGTATCATTATCACTCGTAAGTATCGTAGCATCCGTCACTTCAATGATCTTCTAGGACCTCCCTGTATCCCCACTCAGATAGCGACGGTGTCATAGCATGCGGATAATGTCATCAGACAGTGTCCAGTATGCGAGGAGGAAAGAAGAGAAAGGTAGCAGAAACAGAAACATCGTTAACCCAGCACCCTGTCATGCAAAAAAAAAAGAAGAAGACGCCATATCCATGATACTCCGGTGCATTGAGTTGAAAATCCCATCAAATGCAAAGCCGCTAACTCCAAGCACGGAGAAGTCACTAGGAATGAGAAAACGAGAAAAATGAACAGAATATAAGAATTGCCCCGCTCAAAACGGACATGTCTGAGGCAGAGACTAGTGGGGTGGTGGTTGAACTCAGAAGCTGACTTCACCGGGATCCTCCTCCAACACGCTCTCGTCCCAGAACCGGTCCGTTGATTCCTCGCGACCGGAATCACGAGATCGGAGAGCGACAGCTTCACCTTCACCCCGCTCAACGAATTCATCTTTAGTCACTTCGTTGAGAATGCGTTGGAAGTACATTCGGAGTGAGCGAAGTCCACGGAGATACCCACGGTCAATATCATCTGGGTGCTGGGGCGGGCAGGGAGCATCTGGAGGAATTTCGTCTTCGCCCGTGACGCAATTTGCAAAGTCGACTATCTTTAAATGTACTTCGGTATTGTTGTGCCCGTCCTCGGAGGCACGACGGTGAAGAGGAGCCCGCTTGTCGGCGTTGAGAGTCTCATCGACTTGAGATTGTTCAGTAGAACTTTGTTCGCCGTCGTAAAGAATCAGTAAGCTGCTAGCATACAAGCGATAACGTTTGAGCTTCCGAATCATATTCTCGAGCTTTGCTAGCTTATCCAGAATGATAGGGATCTTCTTTGCCACACTCCTGTAAGAAACGCCGTCGTAGAGAAAGCGTGTGAGGGCATCCTGGAATTCACGCCCAGACTTGAGATCCCGTCCGAAGTACTTGTCCTCAAACGTGTATTCCTGCTTCCTCACATTCCAAGTCTGCATGCCGCAAAGTCGGACACCCAGCTGCTGAGAGGTGGTGGACTGGCATTTGCGCCTTTGAGACTTTCGCTTCTTCTCGCTGGCTTCTATGCCGTATTGGCGTGTCCCCATCTTTAAGTCCAACACGCAGGGCTTGTTCATGCCCGCTGTGAGATCCTCCAGCAATAGGAAAAACTGTACCCTTTCGTCTTTTCTAGTCTGTGCCTCCTTGGGATTAGAAGGGACAATCATTTGAGAATCCTCCTTCGCCTGAAGGCGCAAGGACTTGGATGGGCTATCGCGGGCGGCCAAGGGTGCAGAGGGTACATATTTAGACATATCATCCTTGTGGATCGGCGCAGTAGTGGAGCCGTTAACATGAGGATCGCTAGATGAAACCAAGGAGGCGTCACGTTCCATAGAAAATATACCATCTTCTTTATCGCCACCATAGCCATCATCCTCAAAAAACATGAGCTGACCGACACCTTTATTGGAGCTGATGCTGCCTCGCCTTTGGAGACCGCTGCCTGAATGGCGTCTTCTGACCCGCCGGGTTCGGCTGAGCGAGCTGGCGCGAGGTTGTGATTCTTCAGTTCGGACCTTTTCGAGGCGGTCATGGCCCGCGTCAAGGGCCGTTGAGGCGGAAGATGACAGAGCCGGGCCTTCATTTGACGGTTTAGAAATGGCAATGCCCGAAGAACTGGGTGCTGCTTCAACGCGCTCCGACGCATAGCGATGCAGACTTGCGCTCTGGTCCTCGGACATATTGTCACGTCGATGGCCACTGTCCGAAGACGTCCTTGGCAAATTCAAGTGACCGCGGGCATGGCGCCGGTGATGATGGATGGCGGGAGGGCTGAAGACCTCTCGAAGAACCTGCTCCTGCAACTTCCTATTCACCGTTGTGGCACCCCATCTAGCAATGGGCTTGTCCATGTTGGGAGCAGAAATGCTGCTGGATCCATCGACCGATTGCTTCCCACCTGATGCGTGATTCCCATTCCAAAATCGTCGACTGCCTGACGTGGCACAATCAGCAGTCCTAGGTCTTTGACAGCGCATGAACAGATCAGCCGGAATAATATGGCGGTTGTTCTCGAGTATCACCTTGGGGATGATACCGGTCACTTGTTTCTGACTAAAAATCCGTTCTGGCCCCGCGTCTCCCATCTGGCTAGGCTTGCTAAAGCTTCGTTTCCTTGAGTCCTTTTCATCGTGTGTGAGCTCCTTGCTGTGTTCGGTATCGGTGGGTTCAGCATTGTTTTCTGACGAAGCCTTGGGGCGCTTTGGATTCTTTGAAAAAGTCACATTCAGGACACCAATATATCTGAATAAAGAGAATCATTGTCAGCGGGTCCCGTAAGTCAGAGTAGGGAGAATGTCAAAGGAAATAATATCTTTATAGCTGAGCCTGCCTTACCTGGGAAGAAACATGAGCATTTCAGGGTGTCTGCGTTCAATTCGCTCGTAAAATTCGTTCTCCCGATTGTTGAGCTGTTTACAAACGGCACGTCTGGAGAAACGGAAAACCGTGGTATGACCACCCACTTGATGCCGATAAGGCTTTAGTTCAACCGCGCCTACGGGTGCTGCCGAACTGTGCTTCCGTCGTGGACGCGGGAAGCGAGCACGCTGAGTTGGAGTAGCGGTCGGGGTCACATCAGCATCGTCGGTCAAGCTCGATTCCTCCTCTCGAGCAGAGACACTGCTATCATCCGCAGAGGCGAACTCGGACTCACATGTAGAGTACCCGCCGCTGCGTTCTGAAATGGCGCCAAGAGGTTTGCGATCGTATTCGTCTAGTGTAGGGGAGTGCATGTCTTGTAGCTCGCCATGGAGAATCCTACTCTCATTTTTAGACCGAAGCGAGATATCCACGTGGCTGCTTTCCTGCCCAATAGGCACGGGATGCACTTTCGGCACCAGAGCAAGATTACTCTTCGGCGCCGACTCATCGAACCGCTCCACGTTTGGCTCATTCTCAGGGAAAGGCTCGACTTGGTCGACTTCTTCAGACACTGTGACACGCTCATGCGGAAAGTATACAGCAGACGAGATCTGTTCCTCTTCTTCATCGTCGAATTGCGCCGAGTCCCGACGTTGTTCTTGAATTGTATCTGGTGGCGAGAGTCCATCACTAGGTGCAATCTCTGCGAAATAGTCTCTGCCCCGTTCAGCGTACTGGGTTGGGATACTCTTCGAGAATGAGGAACCGCGACCACCTCCCGGAGTCAAGTGGAAAGATCGAATTTCCTCCAGCAAACTGCGCGGCAGAGACTTGGGCTGGCGTTTGGAAACATCATCACTCAGGGTATGCGGACGATTTCCTTGCCATGCGGTTGGCCCAATAGATGGAGCGGCCGAAAGCGAGAGCTGAGGTGAGCTCTTGGAAGTTCGAGGACCAACGGCCTCTGACAGCAAGTCTCCTGCTTGACCGTGAAAATGATCCCGAATTTGCTCGGGCTCGGAAAAGACGGTGACGTCCGACGTTTCATCCTGCGTCGAAGGCTCCTCGTACTTCCCGTCTCTATCCTCCCTTCTTTTGCGGTCAGGCGAGGTCGTATTCTCCTTGAACAAACCGAGGTAATGACTAGACTTCCGACTACGTACGTGAGAGGTAGGCTCCGCGTTGGTCAGATTGGCCTCAATGGAGTTCTCAACCCTGCCACGTCGGGTCCGGCTCGCACTCCGCTCAACTGTAGTCTCGCAATTCCGGTCCCGGATTTGTTCCGGATATTCAGGGTGACGGGACGGCGAGGACGAGTCTCTTAAAGAGGCAGATATCAGGCTGAGATTGGGAACGGAATCCTCTAAATAGGTGTGTTTAGTGCCAATATCATCCGAGAAAGCTAGTCCGGTGAGATGCAAACTCTCCCGGACAGGAACGTTCAGTTTCCTGTCCGGTTCCTTGTGAGGTGCGTCCCAAGCTACATCTGAAGCAACCGGTCGTAGTGACGAGGGATGGATGGGGAGGGATGGCGAAACGTAGTTAGAGGAGCGCAACGGGTGAGTTCTGCGAACTTCGACTTCCATGGGGGAACGATCGAAGGAAGGGCGACGGAAGGGAATTTTGGAAAAGGAAATTGGCGAAGCGGGCGCATTATCGAGTCCCGGGGACAAATCGGACGTCAAGACATTATCAACATCTTGTATGGGGTCAAGCTGTGGCGTGTTACTGGTTTC